TAACCATAATATAGCTGCAGCATGGCTCTACCACGTAGTAATACTGCGAATATTATCTCACCTGATTGTAATCGTTTGATCACAAGCATTAATCTTTATTGGAATATAAGGGAATGTAAGTACGACGAACAAAGATGACCGCGTGACCGAGTGATAAGAGTTACTTGGCAGGCGGGTTGGCAACTGCAGTGTTTTATTATTCGAGCAGGAAGCTGCTGCTGCCCATATCCTGTTTACTTTTTCTCTGTTGACTCTTATGACACCCACGGTATGATATGAGGATGGAGGTTGTCTCACGACGTGATGTAGTGCATAAAACTATAATTAGTAATTTATATTAGACAACTGCGTAATTTACCAAGTCACTCGGATTTATAAGAATCGAAGAAATAGATTCCAAGCCAAAAAGGTTGAAAGATTTAATTATGAAATGATGATATGAATATTAACATAAAGAATTATTTGAGTTATAATACCTTAAATTGTTTAAATATAGAACCTGCCCATATGAAAATCGTCGAGCAAAAGTATTCAGCAATTAAATTTTCAAAAATATTCAATATACAAAAATCGTCTACTTAGAGTCTTATTAAAGTAAATATAGAAAGATTATATTTCCAATACTAACTCATCTATAGTTTTATTACTAAGCCATATACGTTGCTGTCTGGGCTTACCTCAAACATAAAGCTACATTTTCAACATAGTAGCTGGGACACGTATCTAAAAATGTCAATAAAAGAAACGCCCTATTGTCCGTAGCACTCACCATATCGTAGGCATAGCTCGTAGCTGCAGTACAAATACCACCAGCTTAATATTTCACATTTATTGACATCTTGGTATAGCAGCGCCGCGTTTCATCGAGAAAACGACATAGTTCGCCTGCCTTCACGAATGTCACCTGTATTCTCAAGGGTAAGAAGGAGCTTGTATCTAACATTTTAAATTTATTATCAAGGTGTTGATAGCAATCTCTTAGCTAATTTCTGAAGTAAAAATTTTATAGATCACAACAAAGGTAACGTAAAATCAAAAGGATATTTTCAATCTGAGCCTGCATAATTAAATCAAATTTGTAAGCATCCAGGCCGGCAACGCTTCTATAATTCCTGTGATGTCGCAAATATCTATGGGCGCTGGTGATCACTTACCTATATTAAGTGAGGTATGGTGAGCGCTTATTCCACCGAACTTAAACTTTCATCATCGCCCATAAAATCCACTGCCGGATATAGGATTCTTCCACTGTAGGGACGATATGACGTCACGCTTAGCCGACGGAACGACGAGCGCAGTACCAGACGCAGTATACTGCTGCCCTTCTGCAGCCCCACGGTTCCACATTCCCTCTATTTGTTATTTAAGTATAATTTAAAGTGCGTTCGACACTAATCACAAATGTTTAAGGTAACACGAATAAGAAATTAAATCAGACATGAAAATAATTTCTGCAGCTCTCAATATTCTGTTCCTCTGCGGATATCAATACGCTCACTATGGAAACAAAGCTTAGCGATCATTTTATACATACTTAAACTTGTGCTTCAATTTAAAGTGCATTGCGTGTTAACTTGTCTTTGAATATTTTCATTCCTCCGACATCCAGGTTTCCTCATGATAAATACATAGAATAGATTAGAATCGTTTTTATTTAATATAAATCACAAAAATAATTATTGAAAGACTTTTAAGCTTTCCCACGGTTCGGAAAAAAACCTTTTTTTTCCGAACCGTGGGAAAGAACTAGCAATAAACCCAGCAGTAGTTTTTTAAACATAATTTACAATGAAGTATGAAAAATTATAAATATTTTCGTATTGAATACAACATTTAATAAAATGTATTAGTTTTATATTTAATAATTTAATACAATTTATTTACAATTTTAAAAACTATGATATTAAAAAAAAAAACTAAAACTATAAACTTAATTATCATATAGTCCTACTCCCCGCGGTATCGTGCCAAGAACGCTGGCTGCGTTTCCCCGCTGAATGGCTATACTTAGTCTTTGAGCGAGGAAAGAACCAGCCCTCTTATCATTGTATTTTATACAATCAAGTATGTAGAATTAACAATTAATTATATTTTCATTCTATGAAAACATTCAGAAGCAACATGGTAGCGATCACTTCGTTCCCAGGGCTTCAAATCACTATATATATGTTTAGTAGTATAACCACACTCAGCAAACAGTTTCTGCTTAGTAAATATTTTAAAGTTTTCAAGAGATAAGTACTCCATATTTTCTGGCACTTTGTTGTAAAAGCGTATTCATTACTCCATAAAGGAATTATTGACTCTTTGTAGTGGAGGAACGGTATAACTAGCTTGTGCTTGTTACGAATAGTTACAGAATATTAATCACTATTTTAATTAAACTATTTACGTTAATGTGTACACAATTAATTATCATTAAAAGTAGAGGTCAAAGTTGATAAATTTTTTATTAAATTTTCTCTATAAGAATCATTCGAACCTAGGTTATAAATTGCTTTAATGGCTCTCTCTATGTTATTATGTATCTCTAGAAGTTTTCCTTAACCGACGAGCACATGGTAAATGGGCACTTAAAATTTCAAGTTACTTAACACTTTGTTTCAACCAAGGTTATCCGACAAACTCTTGGATTAAGAACTACGGAACGAGTTTGATATGTACTCAAGAAATATTAGGCATAAGAATTTTTAAGTATATCTGTAGGATGAATCAGGAGTAATTACTTACATTTTAGCTTACATATCCGTTGGTTTGTGTCAGTTACTATGACGCTGTATAATGGCAATGGACCGACCATATCGTTCGCAGAATAGACGATCAATGTAGAAGAATTACATTGCATCGCATTGGGCGCAGAACGGCGGACATTTTCTTAAATGGCCGGACATGGCCTTAAAACTCTCTCAGAAATGAGAAAATCCCTGTTCCCAGCAGTGAGACGTATATGCTATTACATCACTTTCTACTTTACTACATCGAGGCCACACTATGCGCAATAATTCATCACTTACACAGTAAAGGCTAAAACATCCTATTTTGTTCCTTTTCCGTCAATCGAAACGCTCCGCAAATTCAATTAACTGTGAAAGGAAAGTAAAAGCGCTTTCATGTTAGCTGCAGGCTAGATTCGCTTTTGGCAAAGTGAATGAAATACGGAATAATATTTTTGCATGCCTTAAGCGAAGCAAGGTATGTTCTACTATCGCCTAAAAATTAAGTGAATTTGAATCCATTATAAACTGCCAGCTCATGAGGTACCTTGAGGATCACCAGCTGATTAGTGACCGCCAGTACGGTTTCCGTCGAGTTCGATCAGCTGGTGATCTTCTAGTCTATCTGACTCATAGATGGGCGGAGGCAGTAGAGTCCAAGGGGGAGGCATTGGCCGTTAGTTTGGACATAGCGAAGGCCTTCGATCGGGTCTGGCACAAAGCGCTTCTTTCGAATCTTCCTTCCTATGGGCTTCCCGAGAAATTGTGCAAATGGATCACCAGTTTCCTTGCTGATCGGAGCATCAAGGTCGTAGTAGACGGTGCATGCTCTGATTTCAAGCCTATCAACGCTGGTGTTCCACAAGGCTGCGTGCTATCACCAACGCTGTTTCTCCTGCATATCAATGATATGTTGCTAACTAGTAGCATTCATTGCTATGCAGACGACAGCACTGGTGATGCCTTATATACCGGCCGTGCCAATATTTCTCGGGAAAACGTCGCTGAGTACCGGGAAAAACTTGTGTCTGAAGTCGAGTATTTGCTTAACAAAGTTTTGGATTGGGGCCGACTAAATCTAGTCCAGTTCAATCCCCAGGAGACACAAGTTTGCGCGTTTACCGCTAAAAAGAACCCCTTTGTCAAATCTCCTCAGTTTCAAGGCACTCCCCTTGCTGCCTCAGCTAGTATCGGAATCCTTGGCGTCGACATATCGAATAGTGTGCAGTTTCGTATCACTTGGAAGGGAAGGCCAAATTGGCCTCAAAAAAGCTTGGCGTGCCGTAGACAGTATTTCATGCCGGCACATCTCTTGCAACTTTACAAAGCGCAAGTTCGGCCCCTCATGGAATACTGTTCTCATCTCTGGGCCGGGGCACCCCAGTGCCAGCTCCTTTCACTTGACCGCATCCAGCGCAGAGCGGTTCGAATCGTCGACGACCGAGTTCTTTCTGATCGGCTCGATACACTGGCACTGCGTAGAGATGTTGCATCTCTTTGCGTATTTTATCGCATCTATCACGGGGAGTGCTCTGAGGAATTGTTCGGACTAATTCCAGCCGTTCAATTTCACCATCGCACATCGCGACAAAACTCGCGTTACCATCCATACCATCTGGATGATTGGCGGTCCACCACTGTGCGATTTAGAAGAAGTTTTCTCCCTCGCACAACTTCCTTGTAGAATCAATTACCACTAGCGAATTTTCCGGACCGATACGACTTAGGAACCTTCAAGAAAAGAGCTTACACCTTTCTAAAAGGCCGGCAACGCATCTGCAATTCCCCTGGTGTTGCGGTTGTTCATGGGTGGCGGTAGTCACTTACCATCAGATAAGCCGCATGCTCGTTTGCCCCCTCTTTTATAAAAAAAAAATATATTCCAACGTACTGTTACTAAAGTTATGCGCTATAGGATTTACGCCGAAACTACTATCCCTTTTTTCAAATTATCTTCGCAACCGGCGCCAATATGTTACCCACGGTTGTTACCTATCCCAATCATACCATACTCGCTCCGGAGTTAGTTAGGGATCGGTAATCTGTCCACTCCTATTTCTTATTATGATCAACGATCTTGTTTACGTCGTTAAGCATGCTAAATGCTTACTTTACGCAGAAAATGTCGATCACAGTCATCTCCAAAGTGACATCGACCGGGTCTACCAGTAGAGTATTGACAATAAAATGTTTTTCAACACGAGTAAATGTTATGTTATGACTTTTAGTCGCAAATTACAGGCTCTACAAGCTACCTACACTTTAGGAGACACTACTCTAACGCGCATGACAACCATAAAAGATCTTGGCGTGACTTTTGATTGTAGCTTAACTTTTCATGCCCATATATCCGCCTTGGCTATTGACTGTTACAAACGCCTCGGATTCGTTTTGCGCAATGCCCGCGAATATCAAAATAGAGAAGTAATCAAACAATTATTTAACACGTTACTGAGGAGTAAGTTGGAATCAGCGGCATGTGTTTGGAATCCTTATGAGTCTAAGTATGTTTTGACCATAGAAAAAGTTCAAAAGGCCTTCTTACGTTTCCTTTATAAAAAAAATTACGGATACTACCCGTTTTTATATCCCACACAATTTTTGTTGGGTACCTTAGGGTATAATTCTGTTGCAATTCGTCATTCTCGCAACATAATTATCATTGCACTCAAAATTCTAAGAGGCGTAATAGATGCCCCTGAACTTTACAATAACTTATGCAAGATCTATGTGCCTGACCACTACTTGCGACATAGGCCATCTCGTCGGCCTAGATTATTCGCGACGGCATCATCGCGCACGCTGTCGCGCGCTAATTCCCCACTATGTCGAATGCACAGCGCAATCAACGATCTAGTCAAGTTGCGGGAGCTGCCGAGAGCTTTTTTAAAACTAAATACAAACTACGTGTTCACAGAGAGAGATGCGAATTTATTCTAGTCATTGTCTTTTACAATTCTTAATCCTAAGCTTACAGTCTACTTAAATTACTACATACTCAGCATTTGTGTATTTATGCTGATGGACGTTTTATCTGTATTATGGGTGGTGCTGGTGTAACCATAACTCCTCCCTCCTCGACTGCAAAGTTATCGGCAAGATTTGGATTCCGATGATTTTGCATACAATGTAGGAGCTTAGACTTAAGTTTCCAAATTACAACAATAAGAATAATTAAAACTAATATAACATAGAGTAGTACAGTAGCTAAACTAACACTTTTCTTTTTCAATAAGCTTTCACTTTCACTTTCCACTATTTCGCTTTTCAGTTTGTACGAGAGATATTTTAGTTCGTCCAAATTAACGCGACTTAAATTCACTGTTTTCTCCGCATTTGTAGGCTGCTCTATCAATTTGGGTAGAGTTAAAATTGGTGTCACCTTATATTGCAGTTTTCCTGAGTAGTATCGTTTCCGGTGTAATTTAATATTGCCTAATTTTATCTCACAGTTTTCATCGATTTCCAAGAGGTAAGTGCCCTTTACAGCATTTCTTTGAGTGTCATCGCCACACGTTTTTGTAAGCACTATTTCATTTTGTGTAAATAGGATCCAGTTAATAGGACCAATAGACTGTATCTTAACACTTTCCAGCTCTACTATTGATAATTTACAAAGGCTTAGATTTGATGCGAAGTTCATAAGTTGTTCTATGCATGTGTTTTCAGGATACTGCACGATATCAATTTCTTCACACAGAAACTGGTTTGCTGCTATCTCCTGACATGGGCCATCTAAGGGTAAGTACGTGTGATCTTTCACCATGAGGTAAGGATATTTGGGAAAAATAACAGTTGTGCTATTATAGGTGGGATCAAACATAGGTGAGGCATACATTTTAAAATAAGTGTATGTAATATTATCAGTCAGAGGGATTTCCATGATGAACGTTATTTGGTTTTCTTTTACTACTAAATTGTTTTCAGTAATAGGATACAATAAACTATTTGTTTGAGATATAGATTCTAATATTACTAATAATTCAGTGGAATTAACAATGGCTTGGTGTAGAACGTGAAGTTTAGTAAATGCTAATGCCGTTTCTATTTCGCTTAAAATTAAGTATATAGTTCTAAAATTATTGACAAACATGTTAAACATACTTAAAACATATGTGGAGTATATGCTATTATCGTCTTTAGTAATTATATATTTTACAATTCTTTCTATACGTTTCATTCGTTCATCTATAATTTTCATATTTTCCTGTAGAGATCCAGTACTATTTATAAGAGATTTAAGCATCTCCGAGATTATTGTTATTTTCTTATTAGTGTGCGTTTGTTGGGTTTTTAATTGAGATATGAGATTGTCGTATTTTATTGCATCATTGTGGTCTAAATTTCCTGTAAGCGTTTTGATAACAGAACCTAATGGATTAATAAGACCGCGCTTGAAACGTATCGAAGGTATGAGTTGTTTAAACTTTTCTACAGCTAAGTTACTTAAATAATTTACTTGTGTTTTCATATTTTGGAATTCATTTACGTATGGCTTATGGATGTCTACTAAACTGCTAAATTCTTTATATTTATTGATATTAAAATTTAAATCATCTTTTATGCTACTAAAGTCTAACTGCTTAATTATAACCCACTTATCTACTTCCTTGTATGCTTGTCCTTGCTTTACGGGTAACATGCCTGGGTTATGCTCAATCTTTAGAAGTTGAAGGCCTTGGGTCTGGATCATTAGATTCAGGTTCACGAAGATCGCCAACAACCTGTGGAGGGCGTTTCACATTTTTGAGGTGCACTTTAGTTTTTCTTTTCCCTATCGTTACAGGTATTATGTTTCTTTCAACATCACCTTGCACTTTCGCCTTTTGATACCTAGGTTTATCCTTACTTTTCCTTATGTTAATATCTTTAATAAAAACCGTATCACCTTCTTTAAGATCAATTCCAGATTCCCCGCTTTTCTTTTTCCTAACCTTTTCTTTATCTGTATGGACTTTTTCGGAAATATACCTATATAAGTATTTGATTCGTCTCGCGTGGTCTTTAATGAGTTGCTGTGTATATGCCTTTTCAAAATCTACGTCGAATATTTTACCAGAATCGGTATGACCAAATGCTACTTCAAAGGGTGTTAATCCTGTCGTTGAATGAATAGTATGATTATATGCCATAACTGAATATGTCATGACAGATGCAGCGTCTGTGCATTTATGTTCATATTTTGCAAGTCTGTATATTTCAATTATAGTGGAATGAAATCTTTCGACAATGCCTGTCGAATTGGGGTTATTGGGAGTTGTGATATGAGTTTCTATTTTATACATAGATAGGAGCTGGCGCATAAGTTCGTTATTGAATTCAGTGCCTGGATCAGCTGATATTTTCTTAGGAATTCCGTACATAGAAAAATATTTAATTAATGCTCGCACTACTTCAGTGGTTTGTCGACTCGCAATCTCTAAGGCCTGCCCTAATTTGCTAAAAGTATCCACAACGGTTAAATAATACTTCTTCTCAATAGTAAATAAATCTATAAATAGTTCCTGAAAAGGCGCATCCTGAGTTGATGTGAGTTGTAGTATAGGTTTTATTGGTTTCCTATCGTACTTCATTAATTTGCACGGTTCACAAGCATTTATAACGGCAGCTACAGTGTCTTGCATATTTTCCCAATAATAATTTCTGCGTAATCTTATCATAGTTTCTTTCACACCGCGATGACATGTTTTTCCTTCATGGTGTTTGAGAATGACAGCTTTTTGTTCTTTTTCATCCTCCACATATACTACGCGATGTGTACATTCAAAGAATTGTACTGCATCCTTCTTAAAGAGTTCTATAATAACTTTTGCAAATAATTTCCTATGCTCAGCGTTCTCGAAATAAATAAAGTACCGACTCTTAAATTTTATATATTCCTTTAAAAATTGTTTTATTAATTCTTCGTTTTCTAGTGGGAGAAATACCTCTAGTACTTTTTGTTTTTTTCTAGATAAATTTCTGACTTGTAGTTTATTTTGGAACCAAGAAAATACTAGGATCTGATTTGGTTTGGTATCTATTGCCTCGCTCAAAATTGGGATTGCTGTTGACTCGGGTTCAACATTTGAATGTATCGTGTCTGTGCTACTACTGTTAGTTACAGATGGTACAGGGTAGTTTTCTTCGAACAATTCTATATGATCCGTTACACTCGAGTCTGAGTCTGAAATTATCACTGTCTCTGGTTGAGGTTTAGGTCTGTATTTTTTAAGTTCTTTCAGTTGACGTATTACTTTTTGTATGTCATCGTCATCCACATTAACATCCATTGATGCGTCGTCTAAAGCATTAAGTTTTATGCGAGACAAGGCATCAGCATTGGTATTTTGTTTGCCGTTTTTATAGACGATTGTAAAATCGTATTCTTGAAGACGCAAACGCCAGCGTGTTAGTTTGCTGTTAGGCTCCTTAAGGGAATAGAGCCAAGCAAGGGGTCTATGGTCTGTATAAATTTGAAATTTTTGTCCATACAAATAGGGCCTAAAATGCTTTACAGACCAAATGATGGCTAAAAGTTCGCGCTCTATTGTGCTGTATCGTGACTCGGTGTCACTAAGTGTGCGGCTGGCATATGCAATAGGCTTATCTGACCCTATTGGTCCTTGTGATAATACTGCACCAAGAGCTACATTCGAAGCGTCGGTAGTTAATATATACGGTTTAGTCGAATCAGGGTATTGTAGTAGTGGGACACTGGTCAATATTTCTTTACATTTATGAAAAGCATCTACATAATTTTGGTCTATAATTATCTTATTCCTTTTCTTTAAACACGATGTTAGGGGCTGTGTGATTTTCGCAAAGTCCTTTATAAATTTTCTATAATATCCAACCAGCCCAAGGAAACTTTTGATTTCGGTGGTTGTCTTAGGAAGAGGATAATTCTGTATTACCTTAATTTTGTCGTCGTTTGGTCGCAGTCCGTCTTTAGTTATGGTGTGTCCAAGATATAAAACTTCTTTTCGGAAAAATTCAGATTTGTCTAATTGTATTTTCATGTTAGTCTTTCTAAGTCGGTCAAAAACTGTACGGAGTTTCTCCATGTGTTCTTGTAGACTAGCGGAAAAGATAATAACGTCGTCAAGGTACACAAGGCAATGGATTCCTTGCAACGCTCTTAAGACGTTATTCATAGCCCTTTGAAAGGTGGCGGGGGCTGTCTTTAATCCAAATGGCATCCTCAGGAACTCATAGTGCCCATTTAGGGTGCTGAAGGCAGTTTTCTGTCGGTCATCTTCATTAAGTTCAATTTGGTGATAGCCGCTGGCCAGCTCGAGTGTCGAAAAGTAAGTGCTCTTACCTAGTTTATCGAAAAGGTCTGCGATATTTGGAAGGGGGTACTTATCATCAATTGTAATTTCATTTAGCCTTCTGTAATCTATGACCATTCTGTATTTAACTTCGCCCGAAGCATCAGCCTTTTTTGGAACAAGATGAACGGGAGAATTCCATGGGGAGAAAGATTCCTGAATTACATTATCTAATAGAAGTTTATCGACCTGCTTGTTTATCTCTGTTACTTGGACGGGGGCTAGTCTGTAAGGTTTTGTGAATATAGGGTCCTCGTTTTTAGTCCGAATGAAGTGTTTAACCTGATTACTAAAACTCAAAGGTATCCGTTCACAATAAAATATATCCTTGTATTCCTCACATAGTTTACGAATGTTATGTCTTTCCTCTTCATTCATATGGTTTAGTCGTAACTTGTTTAAATTTTCAAGCAATAACTGGTCCGTTTCTAGATCAGAGTGATCTATAGAATTTACATACGATTTATCATCCACACATTCATAAATTTCAAAAGGTTTCTTAATAGATAGTTCCATTTGTTGATCTAACGTATTTTGTATAATTGTGGTGGCATAGCCCTTCTCACATTTTACCAATGCAGAAGGCGTGCGCACCCCGTCACAGAATCGGGTATAATTTAATATTCCTTCGCCATAAAACATGTTAGCAGGTAATTTTGCTCTGACTTCAGAACGAGGTGGAAGTATTACTACATGTTCTAAGCTATTGTGTATTATCGGTATTCTAGAAGAATTTATAGTAAGTACTTGTTTCTTTAAATCTATTACAGCTTCCAACTGCTTTAATAAATCATTCCCAACGAACCCATCATAACGTGAATCGACATTATAAAGATAAAATTTATGTTCGTCATTACTTTGAAATATAGAAAATAGTGGAATTTTAATTACCTGATTGTGTTCACTAGATGCGTGAGTGCTTATAACCTTAAAGGGTTCATTCGTTATATAGTTACGGTAGTATTGATGTGCTTTATCGGGGCTTATAAAAGAACGGGTGCTTCCTGTGTCTATCATAAAGTTAGCATCTATTTCCGGTATATATATGTATGGTAGTTTTAGATTTATGTCGCAATTCAATTCTATTATTTCGGGTGGTTTTCGGAGGCTTTTACTTGAAAATTTTCAGTCTGTGCCGATATGTCATTATCCTCTGAATCATTGTTTTCTTTGGCCTCTATTAGAGAATTTTCTTGTATGGATTCATCTTCATAATAATTTTCGTATGGTTCCTCATACATGTAATTTTGAGGAAATTCGTAGGGATAGTATGATGGATAAATTTCTAATTCGTTTAGGCGGAAACCTGGTTGAAAAGGCTTTGGAGGGGCAGTTCTCATAGAAACATCAGTATCATTAGAAACCGGCTTATTATGCACATTATTATTATTATTAGGATAATTAAAACGCTGAGAGTTACCAAACTCTTGTGGTAACATTGGTTGCATGGGGCTATAGCCCGGGGGTCTAAATCCAAAGTTTGGTCGGTATCCAAAATTAGGTCGGTATCCAAACTGAGGTGGGTGATATTGCTTAGGGAAACTCATTTGCTGTTGAGGCTTATTTTGTGGTAACGGAATCTTCATTTGTCTACTATTGGGAATGCCAAACTTAAATTGAGGTGGTGTTCCGAAATTCTGCCTAGGGGGTTGGTTTTGTGCTAACATTGGTCTAAAACCTGTAGGCTGTGTTGGCATTGCGAACTTAAACGATGGTTGTTGCACTAGTGTACTACTAGACTGTGGCTTAGACGTATGGCTAGACTGTAACATTTTACTACGCATCTGATATTGGTCATAGAAGTTTACTTCTTCTAGAACTATACTTAGTGCTTCTTCTAGTGTACTGGGTGTTTTCAACCTAACAATGCGCACCATATTTTCGGATAAATTGTATAAGAAAACCTGCAGAGCGGTATTATTGTAAATAATAGTTTTACTTATTTTTAAGTTTTTATCACCAATTTGATTAACCTTCTATAATAGCACTGATTTAACGGATTGTATACGACCACAAAAATCTGTATAATTTTCATTTTGGTGTTTCTTTAAAGTTTCTAATTCTATGGCTAAACATTCCTCGCTACGTGGGCCGCCGAAGTGAGTTAAAAACAATTCCTTGAATTCGGCCCACGTCTCTATATCTTCCCGTTCACTGATAAGCGACGCAGCCTCGCCCGTAAGACGACTAGTAATGATTTGCATTATATATTCATTTTGCACATCGGATGATTAAAAGTTACTTATTATATATTCACATTTACGCAAAAATAAATTTAAATAGCGCTTATCGCCGCTAAATGTTGGTATTATTTTAGTTAATTCATTAGGGATAAGTTTAATTTCCGACATTTTTAATAACACACAAAAATAAAAAAAAATAATATAAAATATTTATTATAACCCTACCAGTTCCACAAATGTTGTAAGGAAAATTCGAGTATAAGTAATAATCTATTATATATTAACGTGTCGAGTAATCTTTAAGTTAACAAACACATAGACACAATAAGAACTTAATATAATGTATAATACTTAATATAATATACTCTATAAATTTATTGAGTGATATGGGGCTTATTATTATGTACGTATAACAATTAAATTAATATTATTTTTATTTTTATTTAAGTAATATTTATTACACTAAATACTTTATAAAATTTACGTAAGATTAGTATTTGAAACCAAAATAACAGTCAAAATGGAAAATGTCTAATTCCAAGTTTACTAAGGGATATGAAGGAGGTGAAGAGTCGTACTCACCAGCCCGCAGTGCCCATCATCAGCTTCACGGCTCCTTATTCTCGACGAATTTGTTTTGGTTCGCTGGATCACCACGCTGTATGGATCGTCCGCCGATACGCGAAAATGAGTAAAATTATATACGCGATATTCACGAACGGTGGCACAGCTTTTCCGGTGATCCTACCGGCTGCGCCAGTCAAGTTGCGGGAGCTGCCGAGTGCTTTTTTAAAACTAAATACAAACTACGTGTTCACAGAGAGCGATGCGAATTTATTCTAGTCATTGTCTTTTACAATTCTTAATCCTAAGCTTACAGTCTACTTAAATTACTACATACTCAGCATTTGTGTATTTATGCTGATGGACGTTTTATCTGTATTATGGGTGGTGCTGGTGTAACCATAACTATCTTGTGAGGGCTGCACCCGACTTTGATATATTTGCGGATAGTTGGAATGTCCTGTTGTCAGCTTGTTTACGATTTTGCAAAAGCAATGATATACTCGTATAATTTGTATTTTTCATAGTATAGTTTTAATTATAGCATAGTTTATTCTCATGTGCCTTTCAAAATTATTAATTACTGTAACTGGAGTAAAACCGTTGTAATTAATTAATTAAATAAATAAATAAATGTGGAAAGCTACTGAATGTAAATGGCAGTGTAATTTTGTTTTGTTTAGCTATAATTAATTTTTTTCGGCTCCAAAATGGCGAAATTTTCGTTGATTTGGTAGCCTTGTATGTAAATTATTTCTGTAAATAGGCGGAAGCGGCCGTCGTGAGTGGACTTTGTTTCGGTTGTTTGCAGCGGCTCAGAAATAGCGCTGTACAAATACACAATATTCGAATAACCAAATTTCTTAAATACTTGATTATAATAATAATGACAGATTTTTTTATATAATTAATAGAATCAGGCGTTACTTTGCGGAAATCAATTACATAAAAGCTTTTAAGAAACATTACTTCTTAATTATTTTATAACGCGGATATTTGCGAAGTAATTTTTTTTAAAAAGCATTTAGAGATTTTTTTATTACAATATTTTAAAAGCACAGAATAAATAATAGTAGTACGTACTAAAAGTAAGTAGTATCAATTTATTTGTCATGGGTGACATTTTCATTGTTTTCGAGGGTGTTGAAACCGATAGGGTTGTCGAAATGTAAATCCAAGACGGCGGCCGCAATAGGTATCAATTTTTTCATCATGGGTGTAATTTTCATGGTTTTCGAGGGTGCTGCAGCCGAGAGTGCTGTCAAAATGTAAATCCAAGGTGGCGGCTGCAATAGGTATAAATTTTTTCATCATGGGTGTCATTTTCATGGTTTTCGAGGGTGTTGAAGCCGATAGTGCCATCGAAATCTAAATCCAAGATGGCGGCCGCAATACGTATAAATTTTTTTCATCTTGGGTGTCATTTTCATGGTTTTCGAGGGTGTTGAAGCCGATAGTGCTGTCGAAATGTAAATCCAAGATGGCGGTTGCAATTGGTATCAATTTTTTCATAATGGGTGTCATTCTCATGGTTTTCGCGGGTGTTGAAGCCTATCGGCTTCAACACGTGCTGTCGAAATGTAAATCCAAGGTAGCGACTGCAATAGTTATCAATCTTTTCATCATGGGTGTCATTTTCATGGCTTTCGAGAGTGTTGAAGCCGATAGGGTTGACGAAATGTAAATCCAAGATGGCAGCTGCAATAGATATCAATTTTTTCATTATGGGTGTCATTTTCTTGGCTTTCGAGAGTGTTGAAGCCGATAGTGCTGTCGAAATGTAAATCCAAGATGGCGGCTGCAATAGGTATATATTTTTTCATCATGGGTGTCATTTTCATGGTTTTTGAGGGTGTTGAAGCCGATAGTGCTGTCGAAATGTATTTAAAAAATTCCGTATAATCATGTCATACGTAATTTTTTTAATGCGCTTAAGGCATGCCCAATTGGATTTACCAATTTATTTTCTTTTTTTTAACGGTGCTCTGCACAGGTTTGGTAAACACACGCTAAATGTTTAGTTTATTCGTCTTAAAATAAAAACATTTCGAATTCATGTGAATTTTTATATTTTTAATTGGATTAGTTGACCTGTGAAACATGATTTTTCTACTTGACCCACGTTCCCAGAAATGAGGGATGTCCTACTCCTTAGGACATATAATAAATGGACAGAGCTTATGTCATCAGATTAGATACATTAAGTGTATTCTTCTGAAGATGAATAATGTGATGATGATCATCTCAACTTATATTTGTAATCTTTAACGTATTTTATGGCTTAGATGAAATTCAAATATTGAACAGGAATAACCGTCAGGTTTCAGTACACAGACGTGATGGAGCTGATCTCCGCGAAATATTCCTTTCCTCGCGGGGGCAAAGACGTACTTCCTACGCATACTCGGACTCGCACCGACTAAAACCCCAGGTGTTCTACTTTCAGCACATATTGGAAAAATGAGAGTAAGCTTTTGCCCAGCCGTAAGACGCATATACGCTCTAGCTTTACTGTAAGGAAACTTTAAGTGGAAGTTTCAATGTTAAAGCCGTCCTCGTACACAAACCATAACGTAAAAACAAGCTTACTGTCATCTGTCTCATCGCAAACGTATTCTAGTGTCGTAAAACTAAAATGTTTTTTTTTTATATAGGATAGGGTGAAAAACGAGCACACAGTCCGCCTGATTGTGAGTGGTTGCTGTGACTGATAGAAATCTACATATATCCTCAATAAAGAATCAAAATGCAGATGGGTTTACACCCGTGAGGACTAAGGTGGAATGCCTCTTCTCCAGTAAAAAGGGTCTCCGGTTGTCTACACTCACCATACGAAACACAGCAGTATATACACATAGTAGCAGAATTGCAGTGTCAAGCTGCTATTTTATGAGCAGTATGTTTCAAAAACTTAATATTTTATAAACTTCAGCTTTCCCATCCAAAGAAAAGTCAGTTCACAAAAATCCCGCTGAAACAAACATATGGGGGAAAGAGAGAACCTTCCTTTTTATTAAGTTGTGTGCACAGCAAACATATCTTTGATAACGGAAGGACGAAATTATATATTGAATGTTCTGAAGGTATTCATGGACGAGATCGCCAGCAGTCCTTAGGTATCAGTGAATTGACATTGCTTAAGATCCTAGAAACAAGTGCACGAACAAAAAAATGCACTTTCAGTTTTTTCAGTTAATAGAGCTATATAAACAGAAATTTTATTTTGTAGTTATAACTCTCACGGCTCATGGAATTTCTTTAATTAAAATTAATCCGATAAATGTTTGTGTTTGATAGCGAAAGTTTTTTCCGCATACTTGTTTTAAAAATGTTTCAAAAACAATTTAACTTTACGTAAATAAAACAATGATGCAGTCATTTCAAAGCAACGGCGATATTTGTAGCATATTGCATAGTGAGTAAATTGAAATAAAACAGTTATAAAGATTAATATTTTAAAACACAAATAAGAAAAGAGTCGTAAAAACACAACAAATGCTTTGTTTTTCATAAATGCTGTACTCAGGTGTAGCCTGATCTGATACGTTTGCCCTATCACTAGAAGAACGTTGAGTAAACAGACGTTGCGGAAAATTATGATTTAGTCTCCGAGATACAGAATAGCTAAAACATTCTGACAATGACTACAAAATTACCAATTTTAGCACATAAACCTTGTCTTTATCAGGGCCTGCGATGTACCAGCTACCCTGTGACACGCTATTGTCAACTTATAATCAGATTAAGAGTAATTAGGTAACCCTAGCGGTGCTTGTTTTTGTACCGTAATTGAATAAAATTGTATGGCGCGCCTCGGCTACCAACTTTTATATAGAAATTGTGCAAGGCTCTTTTGCTGTTGCACGTATGGGCCGGCTCGAGCCGGGTTAGTACCACGACCTCACAGAATACCGGCGTGAAGTGGAAGCTCTGCTTCCGCGTTTCGTCTGGTGAGTGCAGGTGACCGGATGCCCAATTCCCCCCCCCCCATCAACATGGTAGCGGAATTACGTCATAAAATACCCCAGGAGGGTACCAGTACCCCTGGAGAATCCCTCGCTGAGCATCCACGACCATGCTATTCCACTCCTGAGCGTGGGTGCTCAGGCTGCCCCGCGTATTCTGGGGGGGGGGGGGGGGGGGGCAAAATTCCGCTCAACACAATAACTGCTCGGGGCAAACTGAGCAACAAGACCAAGGCGACCCCTGCCCCGCTATCCGTGAATTTCTGCAACATCAGGGGACTTCACTCGAACCTAAACGCCGTCCACTACCATCTTGAGACGGCGAAGCCGGCCTTGCTCTTTCTGACCGAGACGCAGGTGTCCTCTCCGGCTGATACTTCGTATCTCTCCTACCCGGGGTACAAATTGGATCACTCCTTTGTGCCTCGGGCTGGAGTTTGCGTGTATGTCAGAGAGGACATCTGTTCTCGACGCCTCGGCAGTCTTGAAGGTTCGGACCTGTCCATCCTTTGGCTACGCGTAGACAGCGACGACCATCCGCGCGTCTACGTGTGCCTCTATAGGTCCCATAGCGGTAATGCCGAAACAGACCGACTCATCGACCACGTCCAAATGGCTACAGATTCCTTGCTACAACAGGTCCCATCCGCAGAGATCGTGATCCTTGGCGATTTTAACGCCCACCACGCCGAATGGCTCAATTCACGTTTAACCGATCATGCGGGAAGATCTGTTTATGACTTTGCCTTGGCATGTGGTCTGACACAACTGGTTACATCGCCTACGCGGATTCCAGATGTTGAGGATCATACACCTTCCCTGTTGGACCTTCTGCTGACCTCTCATCCGGACGGATATCAGGTTTCCGTCGATGCCCCTCTTGGCTCTTCGGACCATTGTCTGATCCGGAGTGTGGTGCCACTCACGCTCCCCTCGCGGTTGCGTTCTGCAGGTTGCCGCCGTGTTTGGCATTACAGGTCGGCGGATTGGGACGGAATGCGGTCTTTCTTTGCTTCCTACCCATGGGGGCGGGTTAGCTTCTCGCCGGATGATCCCAGCGCTGTTGCTGACTTTGTCACTGATGTGGTGCTACAGGGAATGGAACTATTTATTCCATCATCTGTGGTACCCATCGGAGGCAGATCTCAGCCTTGGTTTGGTCGCTCCTGTAAGACTGCATTACGCAGTAAGCTGGAGTGTTATCAAGCCTGGGCTGCGGCTTCGGTGACTCGGGATGTAAACATCAGCACACTCAAAAAGAAGTATAACTTCGCCTCCAGGTCCTTCAAAAGAGTTATTGCCAAGGCAAAGTCAGAGCACATAGGCAGAATTGGCGAGAAACTAGTTCGCCTTCCTTCGGGAACCCGTGCATTCTGGTCTCTCGCCAAGGCTATCCAAGGGAATTTCTGTAAGCCATCACTACCATCTCTGCACAGAGAGGACGACTCACTGGCCCACGACGCAAAAGAGAAGGCCGACCTTTTAGGCTACCTTTTTGCGTCCAACTCGACTGTTGATGACGGGGGAAACACACCGCCGACCATCC